ACATGACTAAAATTAAGTTTTAGTTTTTTTTTTTTTTTTTTGTGCTAAAATTAAGGAGCCACAAATTTCTTTTCTGGGTGACGTAAAGATGTTTGGTTAGCTTCTTAGTGGGCCACAAAGTTCCCATTTCCCAATAATTTGTCGGCCCAATTTCAGCTCAAGTAACATGCAATAAGGGTCCCATGACGATTAAAGTCGCCTCCAGATTTACACGCGGCAAAGCTAGAATATCTGTTGATAGTACATTTTTATGGGCCAGGCCTAGCCCATCATTCAATAAACCCAAATCCGCCACAAATAGGATTCTTCTTGTTATTGCCTTCTCTCTCTCTCTCTCTCTCTCTCTCTCTCTCTCTCTCTCTCTCTCTCTCTCTCTCTCTCTCTCTCCCTTAAAAAACAAAAAACAAATTACACAGAATGACTTTTTCTCAAAGCTGAATTACAATATGGCTTCGTTTTACAAATATCACTTATACGACTGATTTTTTTGAATTATATTATTCGACACCCCAAAACTACCTCTCAATTAATTTTGTGCGTTTCTGTTAGTGTCTAACTTCCGTATCTTTCTCATAATTGAATTTCACCCATTTCATTTAGATGTTGAATTAAATTTTAACACAAATTTTACAAATTTAAATTAACAACCTAATGCCTCTATATCATATGGTATATGTGTAGCCTCTCTTTTTGGGTCATTGCTATCTTTCTTACATTGCCTCTGTAAAAAAAGATATTACTGTCAAAATCTTCATTTTGTATATTGGCATTAAAAATATTCATATATTTTATATAATATGTAATCTTTACTTTAATAAAATGCTATAACATTTGTACGAGTGTTGTTTTTGTTTAGTTTAAACATGTACGTTTTAAATGTTTTTCTAATGTTTATCTAAACTATGTATATTAATATAATATTTATTTTGATGACACAATCTAACATTTGTAGTAGGTCGTTTTCTATCTATTTCATAATGAAATTGTCATTTATTTGGTGATATTGTTATTATCTTAATGAAAAGTCTTTTGTTACCAGTTATTTAATGATGTTTTTGTTCAAAATTACTCTTAAGGACATTGTATTTACGTTAACGAAGTTGTATTGTTATTTTTATGTTGTCATTAAGTTGAATGCCTTGTCTTATGTTAATGATTCTTATTATCCGAGGTGGTTTTTTTATAAAACTCTTCGTTAGATGCTTATGTTAGCAAAGATTTCGAGAAAATCAGATTATGTAAAAAATTTAAAACTTGCAAACACTGTTATGGTCAAGAATACAATTTAAACTGGTTAATTTGTGATTTAATGATATCTTAGTTCCTTTAGTTTTGAAGATTTGAATTTTTTTTTTTTAAAAGTAGACATCCCACAAAATGTTAGAAATAAACAGAGCAACATTTTGATTAAGTGAAAAAAAACAATATATCATTATAAGATTAATAAAGTAATTACATTATATGTTATTTAAATATCATTACAAAATTAAGCCATGTATGAAATATTCACAAAATTAAGCCTATTTCAGTCCCACGATTGTAATTCGGCCCTATGTATAATTAGCCCTTTTTTTTTTTTTCTTGGAATATAATTAGGTTCGGTTTGGAGTCCTAAATAGCCACTCTTGTTGTTATGATTACTATTTTGAAAGAATAATGTTAGGGACACTAACTCACATCTCAACTCTTGTGTTTCAATTAATTTGTTGTGTGAATCGTCATTTTTATATTAGTGGGTGTTTAAATCATTATCACGTCAATTAATTAATAAAAAAATATACATACTAATAAAAAAATGATAATTTACACGTCACGTCATTTGATACAAAGACTTGAAATTTGAGTTGTTGTCCCTAGCAAATCTACATAAATTTCTTTTTAGTTGGAGAGTATAAAGATTTATGTTCTTTTTCAAATACTATACAATTTTTACCTTTTATTTTCTCCCTTTTCATAATAACTTAAATAAGAATTCCAAAAGACAGCACGAAACTAAATAGGCGATCTAAGGATCTCTCTCTCATTGAGCTGAGATAAAAATATTTTTCTTCGGTAGATTGTACATAGCAATGCAAATCTTATGTGAAGTCCAATACAGTTGGTATTTTGTAGGACTCAAGAACAATATTACCTAACCTAACTCAATTGTAAGGCAGAGTGTGACAATGTGCATTAGCATCTACCTTCTATGCAAGGCAAGTGGGAGCGTAGACATCATTCTGATTGTAGCTTTGCATGAACGTAAAAGAGGAAATGAATGAGAAAAGTGGCTTTTGGATTGAGAATGAATTATCGGAAGGAACAAAGGGAATGACCCAAAAAAAAAAACAAAACAAAATCTTTTGTGACAACTTAAGGCATGTTAGTTAATTAGTTCCTAACATTATGGTCAATCAAGTTTTTCTGATTTGTACGTTTTAAATCCTCAGAACTAGTACAAAAAGATGGTTTGGGATGTTTCGAGTTTGGATAATCTTGACAAATACTTTTTAAAAGTGAATGGGTTATGATTTTTACTTTTTACTCTTAATTCATAACATTTTTAGTCAAATAATTATACTAACAAAAATATATTTATCAAGAGTAAAGAATAAATATCAAGACTCATGCATTTAATTCTCTATTTTTTCTTGGAGTTTTGACGTGAAATGGGCCAAGAATGTTTATTCATCGAAAATAGTAGAAAATATGCCAATATGAAAAGCTTAAGGAAGTATATAAGCTAACTTTTAGTTATAGAAATTAATAGGCCATAATTTGTCAAGTTATGGTTCATAACCAGATAAGTTATGGATAAACTTGTCAAGTTATAGTTCATAGTCAGACAAGTTATGGATAAAAACCGTGATTTATGGACAATAACTTGTCAAGTTATGGTTCATAACCAGACAAGCTATGGACGAAAACAGTAATTTGGCATATTTATTAACTTATGTAAATTATTGACCTATTAATTTTAATTTATCTCAAGTCTTAATCTATTTCTCTCTTTCTTCCTTTATTCATTGCCGCGCTTGAGAGGACCAAATGATAAGGGAGAGACATTGCCCAATTTAGGATGAGACTGAGAAATATAGGCTAACAAGAACCCACCATGGCACTCATCTCCTCTCCAAAATAAATAAATAAATAAATAAAATAAAAGGAAACCCCACTACGTAGATGGTTGTTGAAAACTCTTGTTGTGTCGAATTGAATTATATGGTGTACTTTCTTCACAATACACTGTAGTTGTGTGGCATATGAATATATTATATTACTTGACACCATTGTTTACCATCTTATTGTATTAAGTATTGAACTTTTAAAATGATAGAATTCAGGCCTAGACTTCGACCTTGCTCGTGCCTCAAGTTTCAACCCGACCCCGAGATTAGAGGTTCATTTGGTAGATAGATCCATCAGTGTTTGTTTACAGTGATTTTGAATCATGATTCAGAATCAGTGTTGGTTTGAATGATTCAGAATCAGTATTTGGTTTGGATGATTCAGAATCTGATGTGATGTTTTAAACCAGAATCACTTATGATTCTAAAACCAGCCCCCTCTTGATTCGAGGTGATTCAAACCCCTAATTTTGAATCATGATTTCAGAATCATGATTTGAACCCAAAATCATAAATCATGATCTTAGTTCCAAAAATATAATTAGAATCACTCTAATTTAAATCCTCATACCAAACGAACCCTATGACTTGAACTAGTGTCCAAAGTCAGGTTCAAGACTAAGGTCGGGATCATGCTCGAGTTCAAGTCTGAGGTTCATGATTGGCGACGTGGTTTGGGATTGGGTCGTAGTCTGGGGTCCAAGAGTGGGGCCTAGGTCGAGGTTCAGGACCAAGGCCGAGGTTTTGAGATCAGGATTGTGGTCTAGATTGAAGTTTGTGTAAAATCGAGGCCTAAAATCAAGGTGGGTTCGAAGGCCATGATTTCAAACATACTTGGTTAGGGCTGGGTCTAATGAAGTCGAATTCAGGTTTAAGGTCTGAAAACTTGGTTAGGTGTAGTTCGATTTAGAAGTCTTGGAAGGGGGTAAGATGGTCCTAGCCCTATTGGACCTCAACCCCAATATCAATCTCAAACCAAAATCCCGATCCCAATACCCTACCTCGGCTCCAGTGCCAGTCTAATCCCTATCCTTAACCTCGGCTTCCGCCTTGGTTAGTACTTTAAAATTTTGAAATATTTGATACGTTTGTTAGTAGTTTTAGTGGACGTTTGGTTCATGGATTCGGAATTATTCTCGATTTACGTGTGTTTTTTGTAAGAGAAAATACTATAGCGAACCACAAACCACGATTCAAATCATTGCACAAATATTGTATAGCTACCTAATATACAATACCAGCTAATACATAGCTACCTATTGTATTGATTTTGACTTTCTTAACAAGTTACACAACGTTATGTACGTTGCCAAATACTATGATATTTTTAAAAAATACGTGCTAATACAACGTACCAAATGCACCCTTAATGCATGATTTGAACTCGAATTTTATGAGCATAAACTTTTACAAAATTCACGGCTGTTTGAAAAAAAAAAAAAGAAAAAAAAAAAGAAAACGAAAAGCACTCCCATTAAATGAATATGTTTGGATGCATAACAAGGTTGAGAGAAAACGGAGTTTCTTTTTGTGAAGCCAAAGAAGCAAAGCATCTGCTGTCAAAAGGTAGGGCCACACGTTTTCTCTTTGTACCCCAAAATTAGGGGGGAAAGAAAACAAAAGAAAACAAAAAGTTCCATACCAGTGATGGAAGGCGTGTTATTAGACAAAAATCTGCAAAATTGAACCACCACTTTCCCACATGGAAGGTGTGAAGAACATAATTTTTTTTCCCTCTTTTTTGAGGAAATGCACAGAACTAAATGGACCTAAAACGAAGATATTTGGAAGTGAAATTTTACCCAAAATGGAAAATTAAAACTAAGTAAATCGGAACCAAATTTCAATAAATAAAAAATGCAATCAATATTATTGCCAAAATTACATGGACAGAAAGTTTCAGTAAATATTCAGGTATTGTGAAGCACTCAGAGCTCCTTATGACAATATCCAAACTAAACCTAGTAAGAAATGATACCATCATGTGGAATTTTATCAAAGCTACCAATAAATAATGGAACGGATCGTAAAAATGAAATGCAGACCTTTTGTACTTAAAAAAAAATTGCAGAAATTGGTAATGAGTCCATTCCTTGTAATAATACTTGATAAGGAAATCAGGCAAAGCTCTTCTTGTTGGGTTCAAAGACGTACTTAATAAGTGAATCCTTGATGGGCAACAACTCCGGGAACTCTTTCTTCAACTTAGATGCATCCATTTCATTGTTGCTTCGAGGGGCAACGATGACCTTCGCTTGTTCCTCCAATGTAAAGTTGACCCACTTGAAGCTGGGATCAATGTATTTCTTATACAACTCCAGGATCTCATTGTGGCTCACAACACCGGGGTTTGTGAAGTTCCAAATGCCCCTGCAGTTCCTCTTCACCATCTCAACCGAAATGGGAAGAAGCTCGTCCAAGATGGTCATGCTGTTAGGAATGTCAACCACTTTGTCATAGCGCACGATCTTTGTAATGAAGTTCCGAGGACTGCTCAGATCAGATGATATCGGCATTCGGACTCTAAGGGTGCAGACATTGTCATAAACTTTCAGAAGTTCTTCCACCTGACAGAATGATTGAAAAGAGAGAATTATGTTCATTAGCAAACTAATAAACTTCTCAAAATGAAAAACAGGAAAATAAATGGATGGTTGAAGGAGTTACCATGGCTTTGGTTTTCGAGTAAAATGATCCAGTGAAATTAGGTTTGTCTTCCTCTTTAAACCCAATGCCTGATCTTATAGGATGTGCCTCATCATACTCAAAAATACAACCAGTGGCATAATTCATCATTAGGAGGCCATGCTCTCTGCAGATGTCTGCCAGAGTTAATGTACCAACAACGTTCGTGCGAATTGTCTCGGGTTTATGAGTTTCACACCAATCCACATTGGGCCTTCCAGTCACTCCAGCAGCATTGAAAACATGGGTCGGTTTAACACTCTGAATATCTGCCAAGAGCTGCGCTCGTTCCTCCAATCGCCCTCTTCCGTACTCATAAGGTATTCCTTGTTTCTCACAGATCTTCCCAAGAAGGCCTCCAATCCACCCTGTTCTACCATAAATCAGAAACTTCAGGGATGACTTCTGAGCAGGTGGCTTGTTCCTTGGAGAGGGAACCACCATTTGACTCTGACTAGAATTATCTGCAGGAGCAGAATCGGAGTTGCTGATGTCCGGTCCATCAAATTGTCTTTCAATTCCAGGCATCATCAGCATTCTTGGATGAGGAATCAGTGCTCCAGAAACATCACCCCACCAATCAGGATTCTTTACATACCATTCCATTGTCTTCTTCAGCCCCTCCTCCCATGTAGTTCTTTCAAACCAGCCCAAGTTCTTTAACTTTTGATCATCCAAGAAGTACCTTTGGTCATTGAATGGCCGGTTCTCGACAAACTTAATTTCTGTGTCTGGATTCAAGGAGAAGAGTTCACAAATTTCTTTGGCGACATCGATCACCCTCCTCTCTTTCTTTGTCCCAATGTTGTAGACATGGCCTACCTCACCCCTGTGGAGAATAACTTCAAACGCCTCAGCAACATCTTCACAGTACAAATAACTCCTAACATTTGATCCATCTCCATGAATAGGAAGAGGTTTTCCTTTCATAGCCAAGAGAATGAACTTTGGAATAAGCTTTTCGGGGAACTGGTTGGGCCCATATACATTGTTTCCTCTGGTAGTTATCACAGGCAATCCATATGACCGGCCATATGCCATGACAAGCATTTCTGCCCCGGCTTTTGTAGCTGAATACGGGTTTGTGGGGAGGAGCTGAGAGGCCTCGTGATTTCCAACCACAGCATCTTCTTCGGTTTCCCCATAGACTTCATCTGTGCTTACATGGATAAACCTTTTGATCTGACCAGTGACTTTGCAGGCTTCTAAGAGGACATGGGTCCCGTATATGTTGTTCTTAGTAAATTCGAAGCTGTTACCAAAGGAGTTGTCAACATGTGTCTGGGCTGCAAAGTGCATTATCGTGTCAATGGACTCCGTCAGGAGGATGAAATTGACTAAGTCAGCACTGCCAATGTCTCCCTTGATGAACTTGATGTTGAGGGACGATCGTGAAGGAAGGAGGTTCTTCAAATTTGAGCAGTAATCAAGCTTGTCCAGTACAACAATGTTGTACTCAGGGTAGTTTCGGATAAGTCGGTTGCAGACATGGGATGCAATGAAGCCTGCAGCTCCAGTTATGAGGATGTTCTTTGGTTTATACGCGGTAGCCATATATTATCAGTTCTACAGAAAAACCAAAATAACTCAGACTCTAAGAACTTCAATAGAAAAAAGGCATGAGAAATATTATCTATTAACATGGTCAGAATAAGCATACAAACTTGTGAAGTTTAAGGAGTAAAGACTTTATTTGTTGTATTATTTTGTTTCTGAAAGCATGTAATGAGGCGAGAACAAAATGAATAAAGAAGAAAAACAGAGAATTTGAGGTGTGAAAACACTTAGGGTATGTTTAGTAGTGATTCTTGGAGCCCAAAATCAATTTTCTAGCCATCCACGGTTGAAATTTGTGTTTGGTGAAAACCATAAAAAGTGATTCTTAAAGAATTTTTGATAAATTTACAGTCAACATCAGAAACAGTCCAAAGGCAAATCACCTTGAAATACAATTAATAAAACTTTCATAATACCCATAATATCCCTGAAATCAATACTTGTACAATTACGTAACAGATGTTTTTTTTTTTTTCAGTATAGCTAACAGCAATTTTTCTATAATATACAGCACTACCAAACTGGCCCTTAATCCCAAACCCAGCGAGGAAAGAAACAAATAACTTTTCGGATAAAATAGGCCAATTTGGTTGGTTCATTTTGAAGGAAAATGCTTTTTACTTTTTTCAGAAAAAAAAAGAAAACAAAACTAGTTTTCCGGTAATAAAGCCATTACAACATTTCCATTTTCCACAGAAAAGGTTAGCCATTATGTTTCTTTTCTCCAAATAGATTTCACAGCATAAATAAGCTGAGGAAATACATTCAAAACAAAGCAAAATGATGGGCAGTTGCACATAAGATATTAAGGATAAAAATTCTTGCTACAAAGAGAAAAGAAAGAAAAAAAGAAAGAAAAACAATTTGACAAATGCAATATGAGAATTGGGAAATACCAGAATGCAATAGTAAATGTAAATCATAGGGAAAGAAACAAACAAACAGAGCCCATTAATGCAATGCACAAAAATCCATCGTCAAATAAAAAACAAAACACCCAACTAACAGATCTCTGAAAAGGTTAAACCAATAAGTGAACTAGATCTCAACCACCCACCCAAAATGGAAAGCAAAAAAAAAATCCCACGAAAAAAGAGCCAAAAACGACTCACATTACTCCGACAAACATTAAACACAATCATAAATATACAATCATAACATAGTTGGAGATCTGGGTCCAAAGCGTGAAACGTTAATCCGTGTTTAGCACAATGATTAGCTAAAAAAAACTAAACTTTGTAAGCAATCTGCACTTAATTACTGTGCAAAATGAAGGGGGAGAGAGAGACTTACAGAAAGAGCCGGAATTTCAATGCAGGAGAAAAGATTGAACGAGAGCCCAGATATCAGGAAAAGAAAATGTTGTTAATTTTGGGGTAGAGAATTTCGGAGATGATGGTTGTAGGACGAGGAAGAATTTGAGAGAGAGAGAGAGAGAGAGAGATCTGACTGTGAGGAAGGAAAGTCGTTAAGGTGAGGTATTTATAAATATGCCTCGAAATTTATGTATAATATCATTTTTTTTTCTCTCTTTAAGCGTTGTTATTAATTATTAATTTTCAAATTAATTGAATTTTGTGAATACCTTAAAAAAAGATGTGAGAGGAAGAAGTGGGAAAAAAAAAAAAAAAAAAGGATTATCCAAAAAAAAAAAAAAAAAAAAGCAATGCAATGGACCATTTGCGTTTCGCCACGTTAAGAATGTGGGGGCGATTGTAATTGTAAGATAAAGAGATTAACAGCTACTAAATAAATAAAAATATCACATTATATATGAAAAGCTTTCTATATATATATTTTTTCTTTTTCTTTTTCTTTTTTGAAAGGAGAGCTTTCTATATTATATTAACTTTTTTTAGTGTGTGTTTTAAAAATTTAGTTAAAATCACATTAAATTTTTTTAAAAAAAATAATATAAAAGATGAGATATTTCTCATGCCCTATTCAAAAATTTTCATAAGTAAAAGTTGTATTAGGAGATATATTTAAAAATCATATCATCTCAAATCACATGAGAAATTAAATAATACATAAATCTAAAGAAATGAAACTCATGAAGATCAGTCATAATCATGCAATATGGATGGACTACGTACCTGTCATACCACAAGCTTACCTAACATATTAATACAAAACTAATACGAGTAATTAATGTGAATAGATATCATGAGAGGCATTTTTCATGGATATAGATATATTGTTATATATATCAAATATAAAAGAAAAGAAAAAGGGGTAAATGTGAGAGGTGCCGAAAGCGACCAATTGGGGGCGAGATGAGAGAAAGTAGCAGTGTATTGGAGGGGACCATAATGGCGCTTTTCCATTAAAATCAGATTCATGGCTGCAACAAATTTCATGAGATTGACATTTATAAGGTCCCGACATATTAGTTATTCCACTCAATAAAATAAAAACATGCTTTTAGCAAATAACTATCGAATGAAAATTTAGTCCTAAACATCGACTGGATTTATCAATGAATACGGATGAAATACAGTGATGAACAAAAGTGTCAAGACTGAAGAGAAAGAGACATGTTGGCCAATATAAAATCGAGCGCGATCAAAACTCGTTAGAAAGAACAACTACAATCGATAAATAAAATCAGTTGATTTAGACTAAACCCTGAAAACTAGGATACAAGCAACACGGCCTAAGAATAACTCTAACTGTACACTAACATAGACTCTGTTGACAACTAATTCAGACGTGTCAGACACAAATAAAAGCATAACGTGGGGAAACCACCTATATTATTAGAACACATAAAAATGGTGAAAATAACATCGACTTTATTATAAACAAAATGGAAAACAAAAAAAATTAAAAATAACATCACGACGAAAGGTGGACATCTGCTGCCACCACCATCGATCCATCTCCCACTGGCAATCAACTTCACGCACCTAAACATCTCACGAAGACACCATCTTTCTCTCAATCCGGCATCCCACTGCCACAACCGATCGTCTCCACCTCCAACCACAATGCCCTCACACGGGGCTCGTCGACGCTATTCTTTGTTGGTCCTAATGCTCCCTCACCCAAGCAGTTAACATCCGGCCTCCTATATTTGTACCATCTCCACGAACGTTAAAGTCTCATAAGGCGACCTCCCTGCTCGGACCGAGGCACGAAAACCAGCCCTGAGGCAGTGCTGGATACCAGCCCTCATGGGAGAGGAGGGCGGCGACGCAAGCAAAACAATAGAAACCCTAGTGGTTGAAAGAGAGAAAATTGTATACTTTAAAAAAAAAAGCCCATTTTTCCCCTTTGTTTAGATTTATGAGAAAAATTCATGTTAACTGTGTTAGGAAATAATTGCACCTCACAGTCTTCGTTGAGATGGAACTTGGAAGGACACAATGACTACTCGAAGTAAAAAAAATTAAGCAACTGATTCTGATTAATTAACAACAAAATAATACAAGTATAATAAATAGAAGGTTTCTGGAGATTAAAATTTATGCAAAATTACCAGAATTTGAGACAGATGCAATAATTGAAAATAAAATCTTATTAATACAGTAGTTTTTCATGGCCTACCGTAAAATTCTCATAGTAAATAACATAAAACATTGATAATAATAATCCAAAATCAATTGATTAACATTCGAAACAAGAATTGAAAAGTCAATAATGAATTACTGATAAGGATTTTAGGAAGAATTCATCATGAAATGTATAAAGTTGTCTAACTTGGACTCAGCACATCCTAATTATATTTTATCACAATTTTCCTTTTAAAAAAGTACACGAAGAGCTAATTCATATTTACAATATAGCAATAAAGGAAGAGTAATGCTAGAGACATCAACTCAAATCCTAATTTTTGTGTATCAACTAAGGTGGTATGTGAATTGTCATCTTTTTGTTGGCAGATATGGTCTTTTATTTTTTTATTATTTATTGACATGACAATATTTTAAATACTCACAAATATGAAAATGACAACTCATATGCCACATTAAGTAGTACACAAAAATTAAAATTTAAGTTGATATCTCTAATATTATTCATAAAGAAAATTTCAAAACGAAAATGGTAAAATTAGGTGGGTGGCGGAATTCGGCCACTCCTTTTAATTAATGGGTAAGTCTTTTTGTTAAATGGTCTTTTTTTATTCCATTTTACAACAATTATTTACTGATATACTAATGGTTTATTATTAATAAACCTATTACTGTTTTATCTATCAATGATAGATTAGATTATTATTAATTAGCATTGGTTAATCATTACTGTTAAACGGCCCAATCTATCAGTGATGGCCTACTAAATTAATCTACAAATCAATGTATAATTGATTAACCATTTTCCTAATATAACAAAATTTGAATCGCTTACTAAAAAAAACATAAAGTACTTTAAAAAACCATGGGAAATATAAAATGTGCAACAAAAGGGAAAAACGTAATGTAACGATTGCCAAAATGTAAATATATATATATATATATGACTGATCTTAGAATTACACGTATTGATTTGTGTGTGTGTGTTTGTTTGTGATATTTTTAATTAAAAATACGTGATTAGCGTTCAAAAATCACGTGATTAATGTAGCTCTTAATTCATTAGATTAATATTAGCGAGAGACGAGTTGCTCAAATGAGTTATGACACTAAATAAGAATTAGATTAATCTACTTAATTTACTCTCTTTATTTTTCATATAAAATGTTCATGTGCCACACAACATGGTGCTACATAAGGCTGCGAAAATGTGTGCAACAAGAGTTTTTAATCAAACATATATCTCTGGCCTTTGGCGCTTCTAATGAAGCTTCTCTTTTTCACCAAAAGAAAAGGGAAAAAAAAAACAATAATCAAACATATCCTTGTCTTTGTTTGGATGTATATGAGGTACTATACAGAGAAGACAATTTATTTCCTCCATTTCTTCCCATTTCTTTAATCTTTAAATAATAATAATAATAATGAAATGAAAGTAATTTGGAGGATCATGTGCATTCATGCAAGGTGTCACTATTTTGTTCTTGATTGCACTAACCTCTTTATTGTTAGATTTTGGACGTGTAATTGTATATTATATGCTATCATATTAAGTTAAAGCCGATTTAAAGTGATTAAAAAAGGATTTAGGTAATTTAGACTTTAATGCATTTAATAAGTGTGGGCCTAATATGTGTAGAGACCAAATCGTTATTTCTTATTTTATGATGGGTCAAATTAGAAATAATAAAAAGTTGACTTCTATATAAATGGTTGTGGTCCCCAAATTATATGTATGAAACTTTTCTGACATCCCATCATTAGAAAAGTGAGAATTCCTTCTCAAGGCATTCATACTGAATAATTTAGAAGATCAAGAACCAAAAGATTGATCAAGAACCACAAGATTTAAGAAACAGTCCGTTTCTATGGACTCAGGTACGCTTCCGCTTAAGTATATTCTTCTTGATGATTTGACATGGTGGATCTTGGTGTGATTAAGGATTTCATCAATAAAGAATTTATTTCCAACAAGTGATATCAGAACAGTCATCATGTTGAATTATTGAGAAATATTTTTTCCACTTCCGTTGATATAGGAATTGCAACCACATAAATTTCGATTAAATCTTTTGTGCATTTGAAATTTCGGGCAACAACAAATTAAATATATAAAATCAATTCATATGTTTTTGGGAAAATATGTATACGAATTTGGTTATGATTTCATTGAAATCATGAGACTGTATATGAAAATACATTATATATACATATTTTTTCTGAAATTAGAGTTATCTGTTTTTTTTTTTTATGGATTCGGTTTACATGGACGCAAAAAAAAAAAAAAAAAAAGAATACTATGGACTCAAGCCGGCGGCTGTGTCTGCGCCACTAGCGTTAAGAAAACACCAGCGTGGCCTTCTGGTCGCACCAGCGACGAAAAGTTGCGGCCTACAACCGCAACAGTTGGAGCAAGTAGCCTAATGGGGAATAAAAAAAAAAAAAAAAAAAAAAAAAAAAAAAGAATACTATGAACTTAGGCCGGGGGCCGTGTCTGTGCTGCCGACGTTAAGAAAACACCAGCATGGCCTTATGGCCGCACCGGTGACGAAAAGATGCGGCCTACAGCCGCAACAATTGGAGCAGGCAGCCTAATGGCCGCCATTGTTTTTCCAGTGGTCGTAACAGTTGGTCGCGACCGCTTAGAGAAACATTCTTTGGGCCGAAGCCCAGAGGTGCAGGGAAAAGAAGATGGGCCCCCGTAACCAAAAAAAAAAAAGGAAACGCTGGACTGGATCCGGATTCAAGTTGGGTTGACCCGACCCGTCCGGCCATGACCAAAGTTGACCGCTGACTTTGACCGTTGACTTTTTTTTGGGAAATTTAAATTTGAATTTTGGTACAACTTTTCTTTTATGGATGTCTTATGTTTTAATATGAATTGATTGAAACAACATGTTACCAAAGTAGCCTCTCTTGTGTAAA